GCCGCAGGCGTTGGGTGTGAGAGGAGAGAGCTCCCCGGGAGCATTTCTGCCGGACTGAGATCTCACCCAGAACGAGCCCAGAGGGGTTTGGTGGGTGGCAGCGGACAAATCCAAGTCGGAGAGGTAAAAGATGTTTAGGTTAAGTGGATGGGGGGAGCACCCAAAGACTGCGGGAACACAGGGACCTCAGAAAGTCCGATGCCCAAACCCTTTTGTGAAGAATAAGGCCCTCAGCTTTACCAGGCCAGGAAATATTAAAAAAAAAAGTCAAACTAAGTCCCCCAGGAGATGGGAGCTCTGAATTCCAATCAGACCTAATCCACCTCCTGGACAAAGCCGATGCCGGGGAGCTGACAGAGCACCAGGCACCACGGGAAGACAGACACACACTTGCAGGGAGAAATCACGAGCATTCCTGAAGAGCCCTGCTCAAGCCACGCAGACGCTGCCGGGGTCCGGCTCCGGGAGCCTCCTGCCCTCCCCACCGCCGTCAGCGGGAGACCAGAGCTGGAAACCGGTCGCCCAACTCGAGTGGAAGGTGGGGGTGTGTGCGCGGGTCCCGCGATCCCGCTGGGCTCGGCTGCACGGCATGGCTTCATCAACTCTGCTCCTTGTCCTTGACCAGCAGCACAGTGTGTTGGCCGCCGCTGGAGACGGCCAGGACCGTGCGGTTTTCCAGCTGCTTGCCTGTCATCTCCACGGGGCTCCAGACGTCGTCCTCCTCCCCTGTGCCCAGCTGGTAGTTGGTGCCCATGCCCCAGGCAAACGCTCGTCCTGCAACAGAGGTGACACAAGTTTTGGCTTCCAGGTGGCCGCAGGTTGAGGTGACAAGGGGACCCAGCAGCCAAACCCAAGGGGACTTCACGCTTGGGCAGGGGGCTTAGTGATGGGTGCCAGAGAGGCAGGCAGGAGGAAGAGGAGCAGCGCTGGCAACTCAAAGAAGCATTTCATCACCCAGCCAAGGCAGTGTTTTGCCACCGGGGAGCAAAGCAAATCCATCAGCCGGCTACAAACCCTCCTTCCCGCAGCCGTGGGCTGCAGATACCGCGCACAAGCATGCACAGCACCAGAGCACGGAGGTCTCACAGCAGCGGAGTTCAGGGTGTGGAGAAGGGACTGGCAGGCCAACGACGCCCTCCCGGTCAACACCCTGTTATGAACCTTGCTGCCAAGGGCCCACAAAAATATTTGAGCAGCTGCTGGGTGCTCGGCAGGGGCTGCATCAGTGCCAGGGCCTGGCTCTGGTCCTGACCCAGCCAGCAGCGTGCGATGAAGCTGTGCAGGGCCGGCCAGATCCAGGGGGGCCAGAGCACCAGGACAGACGGACGAGGGATGGGGAGGGTACATAGGATGGCGTTTCTGAGCCCGTGGAGGCCCCCGGCACTCACCGTCACTGCTGACGGCGTAGCCGACCGATGCGCCGCACGCGACGGAAGAGATGCTGGGGAGCTCCGGGATGACCGTGGGCGTGCTCTTCTCCTCTGCCCCTGCCCCGAGGCCCAGCCGGCCGTACTCGGCCCTGCCCAGGCTGTAGGCTTTACCTGGGACATGACAGACACACAGGAGAGGTGACTCGAGGCGGGGCAGAAGCCTGCAGCTGGCCATAGCTGGACCCTCTCCCCCGAGTCTGACTCCTGGAGGAGCATCACTCCTCCCTACCACACCCTACATCCCAACCAGGAGGTGCAGGGTGGGATAGACTCTTGAGCTCCCAAAAAATCAATAAGGCGGGCGGGTGCTTGGACAGACTGTTGAGCCTGCGAGAGCAGAGTTCACAAGTGACTCCGCTTTCCTGACATTCTCCCAGCCCTTTGCTGCAAATTTATGCCACCCTTGTTGCCTTGAACACCAAGGGCTCAGAGCGCTCCAGCACGTCACCCTCACCCCACCCATCACGCTGGCACTCACCCTCCGAGTCGACGCACACCGTGTGGTGCTGCCCACCAGAGAACCCGACCCAGGATTTGGTGGAGTTCTTGAAGCACGTCAGGTTCTGCGGGGAGAAGCAGGGCTCGGTGCCCTGGGTCCCTGCAGGGTGGGACGCATAAACCCAGGCAGATCAGGTCCACAGGCACGGACAGCCCAGGCCAGGCACCAGCACTAAGCCACCCACCCTAGGGCTCATCCCACCAGAGACTAACACAGCCCCCCAAGCCCCAAAATCAAATTTCTGCTCAAACCCACTAGCTGCAGTGGCTGGGACCTAAGCCCAGAGCTATGCAGTGTGACCCCCCACCCCAATTTCCAGCTCTAGTGTGTCCAGTGGGTGCTTGGTGTTCGGGATCTGGGGCGCCCAGCACTGTCCCCCCACCAGGCCAGGGCAGCACAGGACCGGGAAGTCGGGCAGGAGATCTGGAAGGACATAAGCGAAGCTCACCCAGCTGGTGGTAGTTGGAGAGGCCGAATCCATAGATGTGTCCCTCCTGCGTGACAGCGAAGGTGAAGTAAGCCCCACAAAAGGCGTCCTGGAAGCGCATTTTGCCTCTGTTGCCTTTGCCTCTGACAGGGACGCGCTGGGGGACCAGCAGGCGCTCTGGGGGTAGGAGACAAGGCTTCATACGAGGTCTAGTGATTTACACCCTTTTCATCCCCCCTTAGATCCAGCTCACTGAATCCAAGCAACCTATTTACACACAAGCCCTTGAGCAGCATGGGAAGAAACTGGGTCTCTTTGCTCCTCTGCAAAGCGCAGAGCTGGGGCCGAAGGACGCAGCACCGTGCTCCTCCGAGCACCAAAGCAACTCACGCAGCCCTTTCCTTCCTCCTCGGTTGGCAAAGAGCGCCGGCACTCTCCCCAGCTGGCCCTGCTCGCCGCAGCCGCATGTGAAGAGGTCACCGTCCACCGTCAGCATCACTAAGTGGTCATTCCCTGGGAGGAGATGGGGGAGATGAGTGAAGCAGGAGTCACGTCCAAGAACCCAGCAAGACCCAGGGGCTGAGATCCCACATGGACACCCTAGCTGTCCCAGCTTTCTAGAATTCAGTGGGGATACCTTGATGCCAGCTCTGGCAAAACTTAAAACCACCAGGATCTCCCTCTTCCTGATCCCAGTTCCCCATCTGAAACTCCAAAGAAGTCTCTCTGGGAAGATTTAGGGGAACAGGTCCCCCGCAATCTCATCTGGGCCCTGGACAAGTTCCCCAGCTGCTCTGCTCAGCTTCCCCAAGTCTAGAAGAGGGCGAGCGCTTTGACACAGTTAAGACACTCTTGTGAGGCATTTTACATCAGATTGGGTCAAATATTAACAATATTGTTGAGGCTAGAAGAGACACAAGGTCTGTTCTCTCAAGAGCCAGAGGAGAGCAAAAGGACATGGACCTTCTGGACCTTCGCCTCCTCCTGAGGGTTGCAACAGCCTCGTGCACCAGCCTGACCCGCGCGCACCCCGGGACCCTCACCTGAGACAATTTTAATGACGGGTGCGCTGAGCTGGAGCAGCACAGGAACAGAGCTCGTCTTCATGGGCTCCAGCAAGCCGATCACCCCGTTGTTATCCTGGGTGGAGAGACAGACGCGGGGACATGAGTCACAGAAACAGCAACCATCAGCAGAGCTTCCAGTGTCTGAGAAATCAACATACCCGGAAAGAGCCCCAGACAAAAACCCTGCCGTCTTCTGTCAGCGCGGCTGTGTGACTGTCCCCCGCAGAGACCTGCACCACCTTTTCCTGCAGCTCCACCAACCCCGGCGTGGTCTCCGACCCTTCTGCCGAGGTGTCGCGCCCGAGGGCACCTTCATCGTTGCAGCCAAAGGTGTAAATCTGCAGGTAGAGAGAGATGGTTGGGATGGGACCTGGAGGGGTGACAGGTTGAGTGTGAAGCCAGTGGACAGACACCCACCAGGCTGAATTATCCTGAATTTTGACCCCCTAAAATTTTGTGGTCCATGGTATGGAGACCATGCTTATCCCCGGACCTGGAGCGAGCTACAGAGCAGGGTCCGATCCAGACCCCCTGCGCCCGGACCTGCCCCAGAGCTTGCGGGGAAGCGCAGCTCAGCTGCCCCACACCCCTGGGTGCTGCCCCCTCCACGCTGCACTCACTTTTCCCGTCTGGCTGAGGCACACCGTGTGCATCCCTCCGGCTTCCACCTGCACCATCATCTCCGGCAGCGGCACCAGGGCCGGCTTCTTCCTCTCCATCACGTCCTCCCCCAGGCCCAGCTGGCCAACATCCCCCTGCCCCAGCGTCAGCACCAGGCCAGGCTGCGTCCGGTGGGACGGGTGGCAGACTGCGGGGCAGAAGGAAGATAAATAACGTATATAACGTACGGGAGGAACAACCCTTCTGTTAAAGCTGGTCCTTGGGAATGGGGAAGGAAAACTCCCAGGGATTTTTCTTACCTTTAATCCTTTTCCTTCCAGGAGACTCTTCTTCTGGCACCGGGCTCTTCTTCGCAGTGCGTTTCCCCGGCATAGTGCTTCGGATCTAAACACCAAAGACCCCCCTGTCAGGGGGTCACCCACGGGGCTTTGCTGGAGAGTCACAAGGTGCCTATCAGCTGTTTGGGGTCTTTTTCTTTC